AAAACACTATTCCTAGAATATTATGGTCGGATGAGTCAATATTTACTAGGAATGGTGCTTTTAATTTCCATAACATGCATCACTGGTCAGATTAAAATCCAAAAGTTGTTCGCCGTACAAATTTTCAACATAGATTTTCATTGAACTTATAGGCAGGAGTAATTGGGGATCAAGTAATTGGGCCTATTGTACTTCCCAATCGTTTTAATTCAGAGGTGTATCTGAACTTTCTTCAGAATGAGCTCATGGATGTGCGCCAGCAGTTTTAAGAAAATATGTTTTTTCAACATAATAGCGCCCCTGCACAGTTTGGACGCAATGTTCAAAATTGGTTGAATGTCAATTTTCCAGACAGGTGGTTAGGCCGAAGAGGTCCTATAGCTGACCTAAATCCATTGGATTTCTATTTTTGGGGGTCATTAAAAGACCTAGTTTACTGGACTGAAGTCAATACTCAAGAAGATTTACTTCAAAGAATCCATCAGGCTGCAAATGAAATAAGAAGAACAAGGTTTTCCACTTTTCGGGCTACGCAATCATTAGTTCGTCGAGCCAGAGTCTGTATCCAACAAAATGGGAATTTATTTGAACACTTATTGTAAAGCTAGTTTTAAGTATATCCAACTGTATGTCTTCTTTTTTAAACAAATTTCAATTTCGTTCGTAGAAAAAATTTATTTCTTTTGTTTTTGCCTAAATGTTAGCTACGTTGCAATAGAAATATGTATTTATGTAATATTTACCAATTATTAAATTAGTTTTTTCGTTGCCATGGCTAATTATTCAACAATTCATTTAAAATCGCAGTACATTTCTTATCATGTGACAAATATTTTTTAGTTTGATTTTATTCAAAAATGGCACAATTTATCGATATTCAATAAGAGTACCTTTTTTATGTAGAAAACCCTAAATTTTCAAATTCTAAAATTGAATTTCAAAAATAGAATCACACAAAAAAATGTTGGGGCTCAAATAACCTGAGTCCGTCCCTGTTACATACGCTTCCAAACCAAAACTGTCTAAAATTGTTAATATTTTTAAATCCTGCATAAAAAACTAGGCTAGAATACCAAATTTTATGTCTTTATCTGAACACGTTTCGGAAATACATATTAAGGAAAAACGATCTTCAGGGGAGCACCTTTAAAAGACCGTAGCGCCCTTAGGGGACGTTTGTCGACCTATGTTTATATAAATCTTGTTTTCCAAACAGAAAAGGTTATTCGTTATGAGATACGTGAATGCGTGGACACCAATAATGCCGTTTATTTGACAATATGTATTTGTGTAACTTTTAGTGACGGCTGCTGTTGTCAGGATGAGCAAAAGGAAACAGAATACCACCGATTGGTTCCTTTCTAAACAAAACAAACTGTCTGATCCACCGGCACAAGAATTACCGAAAAAAACTGATGATAATCCTACAATTCAACCTGAGCCTTACACTTCAAAATTTCTTGATGTTGCCCCGTATGCTTAACCAAGTGTTGAACAATCGGGTGCAAAACCTAAAGGATCCAATTTTATCGCGCCATATGTAAATTTCAGCAGCAACTTGCCTTCCCATGAAAAATATACCTTATTGAGGTGTGCAATGATCCCTAATGACTCTTTCAAATATCCATATTCCACACACTTGAAAAATAATAAAAAAGTGAAATATTACTTATCAAAAAAACACTTTGTGAAATTTCCTTGGCTGTCATATTCAGAGGAACTACAAGTGCTTTTCTGTAAATGTTGCGTGGTTTTTGCAAAATTAGGAGGAGTAGATAAATCAACTAAATTGGGAAACCGTACCACTAAAGAAATTTTAGAAATTGTATGGCAAAACCGGTGATTGTGAGACACATGAGAACTCAATATATCATACAGAAGCAGTTTCAGATGCTACAAACTTTTTAAAGATTTACGAAAATCCAGATAATGATATTTAATAGGTTCAGAGCGAATTAAGCAAGTATCAGAAAATCGGCAAAGATTGACTCCTATAATAGAATCTATAATTTTTGTAGGACGCCAAAATATACCAATTGGAGGGCATAGAAATAAAGGACCACTTTTTTCTAATGACAGCATGAATGACGAGGATGTCCTTAATAATGAAGGGAATTTTAAAGAACTAATACGGTTTAGAGTCGAGAGCGGTGACAATTTATTGAAAAAAAAAACTTAGAAAACTCAAAAGCGCATGCTACGTACGTAAGCAGCCGCATCCAAAATGAAATTATAGAATGTTGTGGCGAAGGAATCATGGGTATAGTTTAAAGTCGCCTCAGGCAAAGCCAGTATTACAGTATTATATTTGACGAAATTACAGACATTAGCCGTAAATCACAAATGTCAATCGTATTGCGGTATTGTTATCAAAAACATATTTACGAGGACTTCATGGGATTTGTGGATTGCTACTCAAATTTTGATGAAGATACAATGGAGCCCAAACTCACAGGTCAAATTCTTGCTCAAACAGTCAAGCATTTCATTAAAACCATTAACTTAGACTCAAAACTATGTGTGGGCATTGGTACTGATACGTGTATCCTAATATTAGGTGCGCTGTTATGGAATTGCAAAAATGTTTGCCAAATTCTCTAAAAAGCCCATGCGCAAATCATGCCTTGAATCTTTCGATTTCAAAAAGCAGCAGTGTCCAAGCAGTAAGAAATACTGTAGGTATAATGAAGGAACTAATGCGTTCTTCAAAGCATCCGCTGAAATAAATACAGTATTAAAAAGAAAACTAGACGGATATCAAATTCATAGTATGTGCGAAACACGATATTAGCTTTAACAGTCAACCTGAGTAAGATTTTGCAATCAAAAACAATTGAAAAACAATATGCTATCAAACTCATAGGAAATGTTATTTCTGTTATACAAGAAAGACCCGCAAATTCCGAAAAACACTTTAGAATACTATTCGCATCTATAATGAAATCACATGAAACCCTGGGTATTGAACTGACTGTGCCCAGAATAACAAGCAGGCAAATGAACAGACCGAACATAGATACGTCTGACAAGGAAAATCATTATAGACTGAACCTATATGTCCCTTTGCTAGATAATATATTACAGAATTTGGTATACCGGTTCAATGAAGAATCTTTGCATATATACAATTTTAATATTTTCTTTGCGTCAGTATTTAATTCAAAAACTGAAGCTGAAGTAGTGGACATATTAGAAACAATGTCTAAATATTTGCATGGACTAAATAGTAACGAAAACAAAAATTGAATAAGTACCAGATTAAAAGCAGAATTTGACCTTTGGAAGTCACGCACAGACAGTGGAATGTCACTGTATTTATCATGTGATGAAAACATTTTTCCTTCAATTAATATATGCCTACAAATATTGATTTCATTGCTGGTAAGTGTTACGACATTTGAAAGAGGTTTCTCCCATCTAAAGATGATAAAAACTTCGCTGCGCTCCACTATGTTACAAGAGCGATTAGTGGGTTTAGCTCTTTTGTATATGCATAGAGATACTAAAATAGACGTGAATACAATCATAGATCGGTTCGCCAGCGAAAAGAATAAGCGCCTTGATTTTGTAATATAATGCCTAAGGTTGTCTCTCAAATCCATCTCCCTTCTGTTGGCCAATAAATAAAAAAGCAGATGTAGTTGAAGGTTTACTTACGTTTAAATCACCATGGTGATCTTTTCCAAAGTATCCAATCAAGATATGTGGTTTTATTTATTGGTCAGCAAATTGATATAAAAGTCTGTTCAAATCACTTTCTAAGCTAATGTAATGATTGTTTTTTTTCGAGACTATGACTGATATAGTTTCATAGTTTATATGTTTTTGTTTTTTGAAACTGGCTAAGAGAATGTAGTTATGCAATGAATATTTTTTGTGTTTTTCTCATGATTAAGAATTTTATTTTGATTTACATTCAGTTTTATACTTTATAGAAGTCGAAACATATTTGTTATTGTTATTTTTAAAGAAGTATTTTTTGTTGATTTGTCTGACAACCTTATGTAGGAAAGTCTGTGATCGATTATATTATTTTGCATTTTTGTTTTAATATATGAAGATTGCTAGAGCTTGGTTTGCTTTATTTACACTTTGATTTCGTATGATTCAGAATTAAAAAAAAATGTATTTTATAATCATTATAACACTTCAGTATGTCACACTACTCCCAGACTGAAATCCCGGGAGCGCCACTGCCTATCGGTAAACATCTCCGATGAAGACCCGTACGCCAATGATGAATGAGAAAGATAAAAAATTCCAGATAAAAGATGAATAGCAGTGTTGGCCAGCATCATAGGAATTTGAAAAATATTTTTTTAACTTATTAGTACTTCTTACCAAACAAAAAAATGCTTTTGGTGTTACGCCACTGGAATACACCCCTATATTAGGAGTAGTAACTTGGATTTGTTCATTAAGTTGTTTAATTGCATAGTAGAATTTATAAATTTGGTCTAAGTAGCAATTTTTTACTGGACGCCACTTGAGGCAACAACGTTCAATGAGTGCTTCAATCTTGTCTCGGGTGCAAGAAATTTCACTTCATGCAACAGTATGAGAAAAAATACCTATTCTCAAGAGAAACCCTAAAAAAGTCCCTTTTTATGGATAAATGTAACACTTTTTTAAAATCCGATAATTTGAGTTATAGCAAACTTTTGATAAATTTGAGAAAATATTTTTTTTAGGATAAATAAAAGAAATAAAGCAGTCGAACCCTGTATGTTTTCACAAAGAGTTGGTCAATAACCTTCTGAAATACAGCAAATCAATATCTCTTTTCATTCAGAAAATATCAATATGTGAATTTGGGGGAAAAATTTTTCATGTTGCAAAGCAACTGATTACTAGTTCAGTGTACTCAGCAGTTGATTAGTCCATTTTATTATCTGAGAATGGATTGGAAAATAGTTCTAAAAATAGACAAAAGGGATTTGGATTCTTTGGATGCAATTAGACCCTACACTCTGTAGTTTTATAGCCAACAAAACACTTACTTTATATGTGGACAAACCAAACAGTAAGCATTTAATAGTTGGCACATTTTACTAAACTCCTTTTTCAAATTCTTCATAAACTCTTTCCTCCTAACTGGCAAAGTTGAAAATAATTTCTCAAGTGCTACTGTTGTACCTTGCTCTCTAGCAACAGGCTGTTGATTAACTATTTTACCATTGCGATCATATGTTATTTTTGTTCCTATCTCAGCTATAGAGTGTCTGGTGGTAACAACTAGATCTGATAAAGCACAGAGAGAACTTAATGCTTCTCCTCTGAAGCCCAGAGTTCCCACATATTTTAAATCTTCAAACTGTTGTATTTTTGAGGTATGATGCTTCAAAGCTTAAAATAAGTTTTTTAAGCATATACTAAAAAACCGATCAACTGACTTACTTAATGCTTCAAAATTTCCCTTCAATACTCCACTACCATTATCTTGCACCTCAATTGATTCAGCACCATAATCTTTTATAAAAATGTCTATGATAGTTGCTCCAGCATCTATCGCATTTTCTATCAGCTCTTTTACTGCTACTGCCAAGCTCAGTACAACCTTAAATATTTTCTCCATATAAACAAAATTAAGATCCCATAATAAATTTCTAGTTGTATACTGTTGCATATTTTTACCTGACCAGAACAGATACGATGAACTGTATCTCTATTTATTGCTTTTATAGTAGGTGCTGGTCCTTCTACATCATCAAGAACTGCATCGAGATCCATTTGTTAAGAATAAACAACTAGTCTGGAAATTCAAAAAAATATATATTAAAAGTCAAAGTCCAAATGAAGGCGGCAAAATATTCTTATTCTTATAATCCCATAACCTCAGAAATCAAATATGACATAAAATATGGCATATCACTATATCCGGTCATGGGATGAATCATCCAAGGCACAATCTGCCTGAAGCAAAAAAAGTCAGGTCATGTTCAATCATATCGACCAATAACAACGGCGTTTTTTAATCCATGCAATGCCACGTGATTTATATTTTGACGTCATTTCCTTCATTCCGCTACGTCCGTGATTCATATCGCCATCTTTACTGTCCACTGTCAAGTATAATGTCATATTTTGCGGAAAGCAACGCAACCGTGCCGCCATTTGCAAATTTGTGCGTGGTGTACGTGTTTAAGGAGTATTTTTGTTTTTAATCTATTTGATGTGCATTTAATAGTGGCAAGGAGATTTAAGTAACAAACATGGGCCCCCCAATGGATCCGTCGAAGCTGAAGGTAGTAGATTTGCGCTCGGAGCTTGCCGCGCGCGGTTTGGACACCAAGGGAAATAAGGCGGTATTGGTCAAACGTCTGAAAGACGCTTTGGAAAAAGAAGGTAATAAGGTGGTTTTATTTAGGAATTGCTGTATACTTGAGGCACCCTATGAAATGTTTTCAATGTTCCACTGGTTTATTCTTAATAGTTAGAGACTCCAAACACTGTTTATGTGTATAGTGGAAATCTAGGAATTTGGCGGCACGCGTAGGTACCACGCTTTGTGGTGATATGTAAACATTTGACAGATTGAAAAAAGAAATACGAATTATTCTCGCAATCATGTAAGCGCCAATATTAATGATTTATGAAAATTTAGAAAAACTGTTGGACATTTAAGGAGTTATATATACCTAGTGCCCGTCGATACCGGCTAACGACGCTTCAGGCATAAAGTTGTCTGATATACATATTTAATTTGCTGTAAGTATGATATCTGTAAGAAAACCAATGTGCATTTTTGTGAAATGATTATTTTAATAACACTAGAGTCAGTGCCTGTATGTTTTTACAAAAAAACTTATTTAGGTACCCAATACAAAAAACTATTGAGCAAAAAATCTTATGAGCTAACACATGGGATACAACTGTTCTTGTAAAAGCTGATTCCTATGGACAATTTTTGTTTTGTGGTAGTGTCTCCTAAGAGTTTTAGCATTTCAAGGACAATATATTTGAGATAAACTAACAATTTTTCAGTAGCAAACTGATGTTTATAGTACTGTAGCATTTAGGTTCTGCCATTGTGGCTGTTTTTGTACCAAAAAAGGTAAATCTGTCCTAAACTGCAACCAATGTGTGGAGCAATTCAAATAATTGAAAGAATGATAATCATGTCACGCACTGAATTTTTAGAGTTAATTACTTGGTGAGAAGACTGAATTCAAGTTTTTGTCACTCTGTGTGATAATTTATTCAAGGGATGAAAAGGGGTGAGTTGTAAATTGATACTAAACTAAGAGTTGAATTTCAATCCTGTGGAGAGGTCAGGAGTTAACTTTCACTGTGGAGAATGAGAAATTTTATATAGTAAAAATCCTCATTTTTCATTCATTAAAATGCAAAACCTTTAATAAAATGGTGTCAAGTAGGTTGACACTGCACTTCCTACTATACTAATAATGTTTATTTGTTCTCAAAATATCCACTATACTAAAAGAAATTTTATGTCAAGGATAAATAAATGAAGAACCTGTGGAACAGTGACCCTTGTACAGGGTTAAAATAACAGCTCAACACATCTGTTGAAAAAGTTTTAAGGACAAATATACAGGCACTTGTCTGGTGTGCAAGATATGTTCTAATAGTTGCATAGAATTGCTGGGGTTGGAAGTTTATGAATATACTAACATCAAACAAGTGAGATGTATCTTCTCCCACCCCCTGCAATCTCCACCCTTAATTATTTATCTCAAAAATAAATTTCAAAATTTTAGCAGTGCTATAAGCTTATAAATATATAACCACCAACACCAATTTTATAACCTAAAAAATTATTAGAAGTCTCTGAAATGTCAAGAAACAGAGTTTGATTGATTCCAAATCTTCTTTTGCCTCTAGCTTCGCCACCACTGGACTGAATTTCGAAAAGTACATGGCTTTTTTCATCCCTGGCATAGAAATAATCTTGTGAAAAGTTCATCTCAATCCAAATAATACTTTCAAAGTTATAGGTGGACCAAGGAATAACATACAGACTGACAGACATTAGTGACATTGGTTTTTATGTTGAAAACATGACAATTGAATAGTTAGGCGTATTTTTTAATCCACCGGTTGAGCCACTGGTGCAACCAATTAGCCAGTTTTACTTCCTTTAATTTCTGTCTGAGCAACCGGTTGTACACGAAACTTGTCTATAAACTATGTAGACAAGTTTGGTGTACAACCGGTCACTCAGACGGAAATTAAAAGAAGTAAAATTGGTTGTTTGCACTGATGGCTCAACTGGTGAATTAAAGAATACGCTTGTTTTGCTCAATTGTGTTAATTCCAAGGAACATCAAAATCTGTTGCACCATAGGTATTTTTATGAGGATGTTCTTTTCTAGCATTTTTTTTCTTTTTCATGAGACAATTGATTTGAAACTACCCCTTGAAGGAAAAAAAACTGCTAACAGGGTATTTTTCAGAAATGCAAAGTTCTAAGGAATAAAACAGATCATATTGCCAAATAATTAATATGTCATAATATGTTATTGGGGGTTTGAAAAATTTTTTTTAAAAAAACACATGAAATTTGGCAGCCATATAAAAAATATGACTAAAAATGTGGAAGCAATTCCTTTTAATGAACAACAACCACTTCTATGCCATCCATTTGATTCAAAATATTTTACATTGACATCTATACCCACTATTTTTTCCATTTCTTTTAGACCCTGATAGCTCTGTAGCTGATACATCTACTGAAGAAGCAGAATACTCTCAGGAGGAAGATCCTCTGCAAACCAATGAAGAGGTAAAAATAATTGAGTCTAACTGTACAAATTTATCATATTAATATTTCTATTATCTGTAATATACTTGGATGTTTTTTCTTTCATAAAGATATCATTACTAATTGCTAAATAGTTTTTGATGTTTTAGTCTTTTATTTTGATTCACATATATTGCTTGATAATCCGTAACAACAACTGCTTATACTATTTCAAAAAAGATCAAAAGATCTCATGGACTAGGTGCATTTTTCTATGTTAAAAAAAATCCTCTAATGTTGAAAAAGTAGACCAATGTTTTAATTTTTATAGGTGAAAGAAGCTCCAAAAGCAGAAGTCAAGATTCCTGAAAAAACTGAAACTAAGCCGGCAGCTAAAGCTCCAGAAAAGCAGGTGGAGGCAGCAAAGCCGCAATCTAAGTCACCTGAAAAGTCTGTACCATCAAAACAAAGTCCCAAAGATGCAGAGAAAAAACCTGATGTGAAATCAGATATTAAAGGGGCAGCTCCACCTGCAACCCCAGTTAAGCCTCAAGCAGCTGCAGGTGGAGACAAGGCTCCAGCTGTTAAACCATCTACAACCCCTACTAAAAGTCCAGCTGCAAGCCCAGTTAAAGCTCCATCTGCTAGTCCCACTAAGCCACAGGCTGCTTCACCAGCTAAGCCTGTAGCTGCTTCTCCAACCAAACCACAACCTGCATCTACAGCTAAGCCTGCATCTCCCACCAAAGCCCAAGCTGCTTCACCAGCTCCTATATCAACAACTAACCCTCCAGTGGCTAGTCCTGTTAAAGCCCAAGCTGCAACACCAGCTGAAAGTCCAACTAAAGCTCCAGCTGCTGGTGATAACTCTCAAAAATCCCCTGATAAGCCTGCTGCATCTGCAGTTACAGATGATAAAGTAAAAGCTGCCACAATTGCTCAAGATGCAAAGTCCACTGAGGAGAAAGCAGAGAATGGAGAGGTTGATCAACAGGTAAGTGTATGTTAGTGTATTCAAATCCCATTTACTCTCAAAACAAATGAGCATTTGATCACCTTTCTTTTTGCTTGTTGCTGCCAAGTCTAAGCATTATAGGAGCCCGCGAATTTGAACGACGTGCTGGTGTTTGTTTCAATGGAGTGTACAGTATATTCAGATAGGAGATAGACCGGACATAAACAAGACCACATGATCATCGAACGCTGTAACATTCGGCAGGGACGTATTAAGAGTCACGCAGTACATATTTTAGATAGTAGATGCTGCTTTGCGTAACTTTGTAGTAAATTAGCACAATTCGATGTGTATACGATTGGTGATGGATATAGGATCATGTGGGGGTGGGGTAAGAAATATATAATGATGTAAATATACATAAGGGTTTCAAAATTTTCGCTTCGATTTCCAGCTTCGGATGCCGCCTGATGTTTGGTGAAATACAGTCGAATATAATCTCAAAATGGCGTTTAAATTAGCCTAAATTAAAAATAATCGTATATCTCTTAAAATTGCTTTTAGAATATTGATTAGTATATTTTTTGATTTCTAGGTAAATATGTAACCAAATTAAAACGTTCAAAACGTAAAAAAATGTGCATGGTTGAACATTGTCAGAAAGTAGATTCTTGAATAGGTTTTGCCAAAATGGGTTCAAAAATGTCAATAATTAATTAAAAAATACAGTAGCTTTATAATTACTTATAACTTACCGAATTTGATGAACGACATCTTTTATTGGAAAGATGAGCTTGATGAGCTTTCATCATCGCTACTGCCTGAAGCACCAACGTCAATAATGAATGGCTCGACTTGTTCCTCTAAAATATTGTCCAGTTCCCACATTCTCTTTTCAACTTTGTCTTTCACGTGCTTAATACAGTTTTCCCATTTTTGCGCTGTTATTAATTCTAGTGCTTCTTTGAAAAGTCCTTTGAGGTCACAAAATTTAAAAGTTATATTGTGCTTAGCTATATAATTTTTAACCTCTGCCTATATGAGCTCAATGGGATTGAGCTCGCAATGGTATGGAGGTAAACGGAGCACAGTTTTATTTTGACTTGCTGCCATTTCGTCAATGGGGTATTTTTGATATTCCGCCTTGTGATCCTTGACAATTCTTAATAATTGTACTTTCAGCATTGCTTCTTCAAAGTTGATATTTTTCGAGCGGAGCCAATTTTGAACATCAACTTTCCTTGAAGCCGTTGTTGGGACCTTCTCCATTCTTCGAGAATGATAAGGCGCATTATCCAACACAGTTACTGCGTTTTCCTCTAAGTTCGGTAAAATTTTTGAAAACCACTGTTCAAACGATTCGCCATTCATTTCCTCGTGGTAATCTCCAGTTTTCTTAGACTCAAAGCACCACAGACCGTCAACAACAAATCCATCCTCACTGCCAATATGGCAGGTAATGAGCCTTTTCCCTTTACCTGGAAATCGAAGTACTAACTGGTGTAGATTTATTTCAATAAGCGAACCTTTTTCAATTGTTTTCATCGCATTCAGCGAAAAAACATTGAGACATGAGTATCAGATTGCTATAATTGGGATTATTTAGTCATATTGAAAGAAAGAATATTGAACGGCGTATGATTACTCAGCGCTTCACAATTTAATTTAAAGTTATAAACCTTTAAAAAATGAATGATCAGGAACCTGAAATACGCGCAAATATTAATATTAACAAATTATAACTTTATAAAACTTAAAGTATGAATTAAAATGATTAGAAATATTAGGAACGGTACACAATATAAAACTTAGTAACTTTTTTTAAGTTTATAATATTCGACATATTTTAAGATTATATTAAAAAATTATTGAAATATCGAAAACACATAAAAACATGGCTTAAAAAAGTTCTAACAAATGAAAATGACAATAAAACATCCACGCATTTTATCGAAAGTTATAAAAGTTCTGTTACTTGTAATATGTTTTATCTGCCCCCTGGAATTAATGTTTAGAACCTTGTTCCCAAGGTTTGAAAAACATCCGATTGTTGTGTATTACTCGTATTTACCTGCTGGATTTTTTAATCCGGTGGACAGTCCATCTAGAAAGGCCCTCCTGGATGAAGTTACAGAATCATCAACCCATACTTTACTTGTAGTGTGTCCTGCGTTTACCCACGTTTCATCAAGGTAATAAATCTTCCTGTTTTGATTTCTATATTTCCCAATTTTTGTTAAATAATCCCTCCTCCATAGCACAATTTCTTCTCTATCCAGTAGTAAACTATTACGACCCCGTTTTTTCCATTTGAAATTTAAATGCTTCAGTAACGCATGGAAAGTTGATCGTTTGAAATTTGGCAACGTTGTATCTCCATTTACCTCCTGCAGTACTTTATCTATAGTAGGTATTTCATTCCTAAAGAAGAATTCATGCACTTTCCTCCTAATCGCATGCTTATCAGCTTCATCCAATGATTTAACAATACTTTTGCGATGTTTACTGGTCATTGGCTCAGAAAAGGTGTGATTTTTTTTGTATTGTCTTAACACATTAAACACTGATGCGCGACACACCCCAACTTTGTGAGAAACCTTCACAACAATTTCTTTGATGGTTGATGCCTCGTTCTCCTCGCGCTCGCTCTTATATATATTCAAAATGACCTGTTTCATTTCTGCACTCAGGTGTCTTTTTTTAGAGCGTTTCCTAGGTGGACTACAGGAGTTTACAACTTCATCGGCAGTATCTGCACTACTGGGCATTTTTCGCAAGCAGTTGATAACAATAACAATCAATAACAAGGTATAACAATAACAACGACAAACTCAACAACTTAATAAGATAACAAACGAAAACGTCCAAAGAAATATCAAATTGCAATGATGCACACGACATACGTAACACGTCTGAACCTGAATGTGACTCTGCCTTGATACGACTGCTCTGCCGCTCGGCATAGGCATTTAATTGCGAATTGACCAATGAGGGCTCCTGTTTTACGTCGAGACGGCGGCGTTAGCGTGAAAATCACCCGAACCTTTTGTTTACATCCGGTCTATCTCTTATCTGAATATACTGTAGATGGGATTTGAAAGCATAGTAGTAAAACTACACTCAATCATTTTTATTAGATTAATTTGGTAAACTGCTATTTCAGTTTTTTTCTATCAATAAAGATTTCTCAAATTTTGCATATATGTCCAGATATAAAGGAAAAATACTTTTACATGTAAACAGTAGATAATATTTTAGAATATTATGTTTCGGCTGAGATGAGGATTGATTTTTATTTCCAGTACAAGTAACTACCAACACCCCCAAATTTCAGCCTATCATTTATGACTTGAAAGCCCCAAGGTTATGAACAAACTAATACCATATTTCTTTCTTACATGACAACATTTTATGACTACAGGAAAAGATGGAGGCGGAAGACATAGCATCTGAAGACTCACAGGAAAAGTCAAAGTCTGATGCAGAGAGGAAAGGTTCTGGTGAAAGGTCTAGATCTGAGAAACGCAAGAGGTCTAGCCCTTCCCCAGAGAGGCAAGATCGCAAACGTGCAGCTCCAGAGATAAGAGAAGATGAACCTACAATTGACAATGACAAAGTTGCACTGAGTTGGTGTGAGTAAAAATTCCAATATGTTATTGATGTTTAAAGGTTAAAGATGTCATTACAGATACTATATCTTGTACAATGTTTAACACAGGTTGTGAATGGGAGTACATGGGATCTTAGAATTTATAAAATAATCTATATTTATTTAATTTCTTTGGACTTTCTGAGAATTCCTATAAAATCTATATGCAAAAACAATAAATAATCAATTGAGTGAAATAAATATTTCTCGTTTGATAAACTATGATAGTGTCACTATTGTTTATGTGTTTTTTGTTTCAGATGACTCTGATCTTCATATTCAAGTTGACAAGGAGTCATTCATGTCAGCAAGACCATTGACAGAAGGTGCTTTTGGATATGCATGGGCTGGTGTTAGAGCTACTCATGGAGTTTCTGCTGGCAAGGTTTGTATTCATTTATAGTTCTTCACTTCTTAAAAAAGAATTTCAGTTTTATATTTTCCATTAATTCGCCCCATTTTGCAATATACAAGATTTTAATTGAGCACCTTGACAAATTGTAAGGGTACTTCATTGGATATTTCTAAGAAAAAAAGCTTGTATAAACATTGGTCTGGCGATGCTTCGTTTTCAATATGCCAAAGTTTATTAGAAAATAAAACATACTTTTTCAATATTCCGTTAAAATAGTAGTAGCACAGTCACCAGTTTTCATTATGAGTCATCTAGATTCCCTTTATATATTTACAACAATAAAATGAAAGTGTATCATCACTCATCAAATACAGATCAAACCTCCAGAAAATTTTAGCAAATAAGAACAATATCACATGGTGACAAAGAATTAACAGTTCTAGCTAATGCAACACACACTTATAAATTCCTTCTATTGGTTTAAACTCTGGACTATGTTTAGATCTGTTTATGTCAAACATAGTCAAAAATTGTATGTCTCATTTTATTCCTGTCTGAATTAGAATTTAGTCACGATCATTAGCAGCCATTGTGCTTGTAGCATTTTTTTATAATAAAATCGTTGTCAGCTCTTATTTGCTGTCACGTTTCACGTAATGGATACTGACTAGTGAAAAAGACTTATGTATATTGGCCAAATAAACAATGTGAGCTTAAAAAACATTTCTTGTTACTAAACTCAATAATGCAATGTTCCACTCTAAAACTTTAATAGCTATGTGAAAACTTACAGGTTTTGAGAAATACTTAAGTCTTTTTCATTATCAAACTTTTCGTCGGTGGGCTCTGCCGTGGTTATTTGCAAGATGGCGGAACTAGCTGATCGCTGAAGTCGGTGGAATTTACTTATATCGGAAAAAAATAAGCCTTAATAGTAAACAGTAAACAGCACAAAAAGAGGATATAACTCTATCTGTATCTATGCCACATTTCTCTAGCACTGTCCCCACCCCCTCTCCCCCAGACTTTTGCTTTTTTTGAGGAAAATGTTAGTTGAACTTTGAAAGGATATTCTTTCAATACCGGTAGATTGACTTTTACAGTACATACAACTGAAAAACTTTAATAATATAAGAACTATCTTGTATAGATAACATTGCTGCATCAAGAAAATATAAATGACCTGCAAGGAAAGATTTAACATATGTGTATTTAGATCCAGCTATGCATTACACTTTTTGGTTAAATGAATCATTAGAATTCATCGAAAAGAACGGGTAATTAAAAAAAAGTTATACCCTTTAATATTACATGAACTTATTAGAATCACCTCTCAAGTTTGGTCAGATGTTTTATTAACGTAATGTACATTTTCTTCTTTCCTATTTGGATCTATTTGTAACATCTTCATGTTGTTCCAGATTTGCTATGAGGTTAAAGTAACTGAGAAATTGAAATGGGATGATTTTGGAAATTACGTACCAAGGGGAAACCATAGGGACCGTTTTAGAACAGATCATAGGAAACGGGACAGAAGTAGAGATGGGAAGGATAGAGACTCAAAAAAGAAAGATAATGAAGAAAGGGAGAAGACCAAGGACAATGAAGATGGAGAAAAGGAAAAGCCCAAGGACAATGAAGAAGATGTAGAGATGGAGTCCAAGGCAGATGATTCTTCTGAGAAGAACGATGATAACAAAGAAGCGGATAAGTCAGAGAAAATGGACGTCGATGAGTCCAAAGAAGCTGAAAAGCAGGAGGACTCTAAGGATAAAGATGAGAGCAAAGAGAAAGAAAAGGAAGAAGATTCAAAAGAGAAATCAGGAGATTCAAAAGAAAAATCGGATGGAGACTCAAAAGAAGATAAGAAAGAAGAAAAGCCGCAACGGGAACCATTACCTACACATATTTTCCGTTTGGGTTGGTCCATGTCTAGATGTGGCTTGCAGTTGGGTGAAGAAAAGTATTCTTTTGGGTTTGAATCGACAGGGAAGTTTGTCACTGACAGCCAGTTCACAGATTTCGCCAGTGGTTACAAAGAAGGAGATGTCATTGGAGCTTATCTGGTGAGTAAAACAGTAATATAAAATCCTATTCTTTTCCTTAGAGTATGAGTGTCTGTGAGTGGTAAGCAAAAAGTATGAAGTCATTATGACATTGCTGTCACAGAAGTTCAAGAGAAGTTAATGGCAGTTAGATTAGGGCGCTATTTTCCCGCGACGATTTGTATGCCAGGTACTTGGTTCAAGTCACTTCACTAATTGATTTAGATATATTTGTTGGATGAATTTGCATAACAGGATATTGAAATAAATTCGGACCATGCATCTCTTAAGACGAGACAAATGTGTGCACAACTGACAACTGACTATCCTTTTGAAAAAGACTAAGGGCCGTATCGTCAGTCGTTCCTACTATTGTATGACACCTTTATGTCCTCCTTGATATTCCTAGTTTTTCCTGTCCTTCAGAAAGGCGCTCCATTTTAAGGTTACGTTACAAATATCTATTTTCAGTAAATTGTTCAGGCTTTCATTTTCTGGCAGATGGCAGAACACGTCTACTTGCATATAAAATACATGATTTCCAATAGGATTTTTTGTAATATAAACATGAATTTTGAATCTTGAGCTAGTATATAAAGCGACGCCAACTATTTCAGACTCATTACTAAATTGTATGCGTTCTAATTCAATTTTGGGATGGAACGTTTGGAGGATGCGCTCTCAGAATAAGATGATTTTGGATTTTGAGGAATTTATCACGAAATTTGGTAGTATGTTGATTAATTTTCCAAACTGTCCACGGCTGCGGTTGCGCGGTATAAGGGCCGTATCGTCAGTCGTTCCTTCAGTTTATTGTAGGACGCCTTTATGGCCTCTTTTATTTTCATAGTTTTCTACTGTTCCGTGTCAGCGCTATACTTTGAGGTTATGTCACAAATATCTATTTGCAATTAAAAAAAAAACATAATGAGGAAAGCGCTGACATGGAACAGTAGAAATCTAGAAATACCCCAGCCATAAAGGCCTCCTACAGTTGTAGGTACGACTGACGATACGGCCCTAATGGGATTATTTTCGTATCAGAACATGAAATCACTGTCTCGGACGTAATTATTGCCAAATGACGTGTATGATGACAGCTTTCTTTTCCTTTTAGTCTTATGATAGGAAAGTACCGCAGGATTGAATGTCGGCAATGCCTGGAAGTCAATGTTAATACAAAGCTTGACTATTCATATAATTTTTTTAAACGAATTTGAAATTTTTGTCTTAAGTTTAGTTTCACCCGACACCGAAACTTCTTAACGTAAATATTGTTGATGGAAAGCATATGCAACTCTGAAAATTGATACATTACATATACTAACCTGAGTAAACGGCAAATTATGCGGTAGATGATCATGGTAGGCATTGCGTTCTGATTGACTATGTCGTTCCACATAGTCTCAAAGTTGGTGTAATGGAACCTCATTATCATTTTGATTCACTTTGTACAACAAGCTACTAAGTAACTACCAACTAGAAATCTAACATGCCGATTGAAAAGTTGATTGAAGATCGTACCGCCTATCGTCTACCGAAGAAACCTATCAAAGATTAAAAAAGCTATGACTTTCCAATTTGGTCAAATTTTTGTTGCAATACAAAAAACAATATTTGCACACAAAAAATACAAACAAGGGAATAACAAAAGCGTCAATATGGGCTTTAAGGCGGGCGCGGCGAGCAGCGGCGTGTGGTGTCCACAGTGACACGCGAGCTCTTGTACTGGTTCGACGTATTATCAGAAGTCCCAAACTATGGACGACGATTTGGTATTTTTACTAGACAGTCCGATCCTGAGATGGGAGATGTTGAACATTCGAGATGGCGTGCACGAAATAAATAAAAACAGAAACAACTGTTGAATTTTTTCAGTTTTATGAAGAACTGAGATTATACCCTACCAAAGTTTTTGAGTACACTCGAATGCCCGCGTCAACGTTTGACTACATCCTAAGTAAAATATCTGTGCTGCGGATGTTTACTTTTCCAAATAGGTGGTTTAGATTGAATTACGCTTATAAACGATTCAGTATCCGCCATTTCAATACAATAATACTCATGCATACGCCGAGCGACAACACCAAACTGGTTTGTCACCGCCGCCTCCGCGCGTTAGGTCGCTTGCAGATAAGGCCTGTAGTGTGGCCAGAAAGCGCGGAACAGGAACGTTTGAAAACTACGCGCGCTGTTTCGCTAGGTCCCGCCGCCCTACGCTTTCGCCTCAGTCTCTACACTATGGACGCAAAGACACGTTTCATAATGTTTGATATTTCGCGCCCGTTGTCGCAACCGCGCTAGGCCGTTACCTGCTAGGCTCGTAATATGGATGCACTCTTAGGGTTGTAATTTCGGCCGATTTTCTACCAAAACCGAAACTAAATCGATATTCGGCTTTTAGACCGCAAGTGGCCGAAACTGAAAGATATTATACATACTTTATGTAATTTCAGAGCATTGTTGGTAGCGAGGTAGCGATGAGATTCACCGTCAATGGTGAACTACAAGAAGGCGAATATAAAGCGGATAAATCAGATTTTCCTGTAGAAGGATTTGCTCTGTTCCCTCACATACTGTCCAGGAATTTTGCATTTGAAATCAATTTGGGTGATAAAGAACCTTGGTTCCCAATTCCCAAAGAACTAGAAGGCCATCAGTTCCTGACCAAAATTGAAGAGAAGATACCTGGACCAGCAAGGCCAGATAACAGATCTGATTGTGAGGTATATTTGATTATTTGTATAATTAGCTTCAGTGCAATAATTATAATAATGTTGATATTAAGGAGTTTCTAAAGACGACGTTGATTGGTCAAATAAGCAATTTTGGGTTTGAAACACTTTGAATTTCAAGCATACATTACTCACTAAATCGTGTAATCCGCGTAGGCGCTGAAAGTTGAAAAGCTATAGCTATATGTTGTTGCATTTTATGAAAACAGAAGTAATTCTCAATATCTGTAAATTAGCAGCTTCAAATTTTAGGGTCTTCCGTGGAATTTTAGTTTGGTAACAAAAAAATCTGCTTGAAATTCTATTGACTAACCTCAAATTGCTTATTTGACCAATTGTAGGTGTATTTGATCTCTGTCGTAGCACCCTCGCAAACTGCGATTCATAAATTTATGAAAACATAAGATACTTTCAAAACCTGTATGTCATCCCATTGCTATTCAATTTTTGCTCTTGCAACAAAAGAGAAAGGTATAGTTTTTTCATGAGTATCCATTACGGGTAATATTTCAAAATTTCGCATATCGACAAATGACACATAATCCTGATGGATCCGTCAACGCCAGGTAGACGCTACAGATTCATTTTGTACTTGCGAACAACTATTTTATTTAGAAAAGTCCGTTTGCACACAAAAGAGCTACAAGCAAGTTTTACTAAATTTACACCCGATTCTTTATTGCCAACATTAGACACTAATACAAAGATGTCACTTGCTGATCAGCTGTTCACCTCAGTAGACGTCAAAACGTGATGGATACTCGTAAAATAGGGTTGTTTGAAATTCAACTTCTAAACTAAAATTGCTTATTTGACCAATCAGCGTCGACAGTCGTATACGTTTATACAACCTCCAATTATAATGATTTTGATGGCATTATTGGTATTGTAGCGTAGCTTTTCAAATATTTGATTACCATGGTACCAAGTAAAATTATTTTTAGGTCATTATGATGTGCGGATTACCCGCATCAGGAAAAAGTCACTGGGTGAAGGAACATCTGTCCTCTAGTGCTGACAAGAGTTACACAGTTATATCAAACGATAGTCTACTAGAAAGAATGAAGGTATGTTGCATTTGAAGATTTGTTGAAATGCAATTTACAACCTTTATAAGGTCACATAATCGATCTGTTTTTGAAAGTGGCAATTGAAAATATAAATGTTTAGATTGTTTTTGCTACATTTCTATTACTAATGACTATTATGTAATTTACAAACTGTTCCAGTATTTTATAACTGCTTGTAGGTTTCTGGGGTAGATCTGAAGTCCGAGTACAGAGGAAGATGGCCGTACATGTTGGATAAGCTTCAAAAAGCCTTGAGTAGGCTCCACTGGATGGCCAGCCAGCGTAGAAGAAACTATATTCTTGATCAGGTACTTTAATTAAGGTTGTTGAAATCAGTTCACTTATTGGGCTATTCCATGGAAAAATATTTCACTAATGTAAGTACACTCCACCTGACAAATCAGCAATAGTCTGGATGTAAGTATGAAATATTTGGGGCAGAACTTTCGAATTTGTTGGTTCTGTACAATCAGGTTTATGTTGTGCAGACTCTACATTGGTGGGGAGGTAAGCAAAGGGGTACAGTACGGAACAACATGAAGAAGAGATTGTATACAGTCTTTGTCAGCACTACTTTTGTATTGTAAGAAAGAATAAAAAAATATGTTGATTTATTCGTTCAAAAATGTGCTGTATGCATTCAAGCAAGCCAAGATGTAGCTGCTGTACCCCAACATATTATTTTACAATTGGAAATCACATATTTTATTGATACATTAGTCAAAACATGAAATGATATATTAGGCTCTTGGAAAATCCTACACAATATTTATCAGGTATGTTTTAGTATCTAGGATAAAAAATCCCTAAAATATTGACATGCAGAAATACTGCCACATTACTAGACAAAGGGATTCCTTATGCTATAACTAATGTTTCTCACAGTTTGCTTACAAATAATTTACCTTCAATGACATGTAACTATGCTACATTGCTATGATTCAAATGTTACATTTTTTTGTGATCTTCCACCTGCTAGCGAAACACATGTATGACGGGTAGTTCCAGTTTTTTTGCCATCAAGTAGAAAGATGGCTAGATAAGTAGGAGGATGAATTTGAAACCACTTTTTATTTTAAACCAAGACGCATTCAGGGGAATTTTTTTCAATGAAGAAAGAACAGTGGCTGATGTTACCTGGGTTGCGACGATATAAACCAATTGATTTTCTCAATTTGGATCGTGATTTAGATCAAATTATAAATTGCTATACAAACAAATCGCCAGAGCATATGACTGAAATAACTCTTGTGAAAATTCAAAAAAAGGAAGATAGTTTGTTTGAAAATATGTTTTCCATCTGATTTATTCGATTTTTCAATGACATATTGCCAAATAGGGTCTTTTTATTCTACCACCACTTCGGGACATTTCAGTTATCTTTTAAAACACAATACGATTTAAACAAGATAGGATATTTTACTCATGAACAAATGGGCCGACTATAAGTTAAGAAATGATCCGTCTCACGTCAACCGCTCATTATAAAGTTACGCATTCAGGGAGCTAAAAAGATGGTTTCACAATTCCTAGGACATCCGGAGATAGACGTAAGAAACTGAACTTTCACAGAATATTTTTTATTTTTTCCTGGCCTTGTGATGGGTTTTCAAAATAAAAAGTACATGAACATGTCCACTTTTTCTCCTCTACAAGATAGCATAATTAGAATTTCTGTATAACGTTTCGTCTTTTGTTCTCAATCATCAACTTTCTTATAGGCGTCATATTATAAATAAGAATGTATGGATGTTTGTTACCCAATCACGCCAAAATGGCTGGACGCATCTGGATGAAATTTGGAACAGAGATAGATTATAGCCTGGAATAGTACATAGGCTACTTTTTACTCTGGTGAATTTAAGTATTTTAATGGAATTTGACATGAGGACTTGGATTGATATTATAAAACCTCAAATGTCTAAAAATGTAATCTTCCTTCCTCCCTCCTTAACTAATCGAATAAAACTTTTTTTTATATCATATGTATCTGATGGAAACATTTTGGAGTAAATAAGTCTGGACAGTGTCATGTAAACCTCTATCGTGCTAAAAAGGCTTTTGATTGAAAACAAGAGACGAAACTCTATGCCATCAGGTAGGGGAAAAAGACACTGTTAATGTAAATGTAAAATTTTGATATCGCATCTCAAAAACAGCCAGAAAAAAATAAGGGCTATTTTGGGAAAATTCGATTTCTTTCGTCTATGCGCGGAAATACTTGGAATTGTGAAACATAAGTGCCATTTACTTAGTTACATAAATGCCCAATATTGCTCCCATTTAACCGACTTCGTATCTCTTACCGTTTCCTAAATCCCAATGGTGAGAGTCGAATTTGAAACACCCGCTATATGTGAATGTATGAAATAGAACATTGTCTTTCGATTAATTTATGATTTTGGCAATGAGGTAGTCTTACATCAAGAATGAAGCGATAAGTAATAAGAAAAAAAAAAGAATGTGCTGGGCGACCCCTCGGCTGAATACACTCCTATATACGTCTAGGCTTTGACAAAATGTCCGTAGTACGACGAGCAATATAGGGACGTGCGTTGTCTTGCTGAAAAAGGAGGTGTGGATGGTCCTTTAGATACGGCAGTAAAGTGGTTTGTAGGACATCAACATAACGCGCAGTAGTCATATTGCCTTGAACAAAGAGGAGGGGTGATCGGCTACCATAGGCAATAGCCCCCCAAACCATTGCTCCAACAGTGCTGTCTACCTGTCTCTCAACAGCAAATCCAATATCACGCCGTTCTCCACGGCGGCGATTTACCCTTCTGCGACCATAGAGCGTACCTAGACAAAATCGCGATTCGTCGCTGAAGATGACATTATGCCATTCTGCCTCCCAATGTTGCCGTTCTCTTCTCCAGTTCAAAGGTTGACGACAGAGGGTCGCAGTCTGAGGAAGCACTAACCGTGGACGGTATGGAAAAAGTCTAAGGCTCGAATGCGGCGATAGAGTGTACTCATAGTAACAGGTCTACCTTCTCCAAAACATTGGTCAGCGATCTGACGCGTAGTAGCAAAACGGTCTCGTAGGGCTATTTGTCTGAAGCGCCTATCTTCACGCTCTGAGGTACGTATCGGTGGGCCAGTTGGCATTCTTCGTGTTCCTCTACCTTCTTCTATCCACACACGACACAGACGCATTACCTTCATTGCAGTACAATTAACACGGCGGCCAATTTCGCGATAGGACAAACCAACATCTCGCTAAGCAATAATTCCACCCCTATCAAAGTCGCTAACATGGTGATAATTTGGACGTCTTCGAACTTCGGCATTTTGTTATGCTTAACTCTAGTAAATGAAAGGGCAATAACTAAAAATATCTACTACTCAGCTCTCAGAAATTCGTTTTTCACAAAAACTAAGAGATAACGTTTTATCAAAGGTAAAAAAAACAAAGATAAAAAGTTGAAATTGTTCCCACAAATTATTTTTTCTGGGTGTAAAACTTCTGTCACTGAGTATATATTCTGAACTGGAATCAGAGGCTAGATAGAGACTATCATTCTATCAAACTTCATGTAGTCATTAGAGAAGTAAATACCTAGTAAGGATTCGGAATAAACGTCTGCAGTGATTATGCATGATAAATGTACACAAAGTATTGGGGTATTTTAAATTCGACCCTCACCATTGGGATCTCGGAAACTTTAAAGGATACAAAGTCGCTTAACTAGGGGCAAAGTTGCGTATTCAGATAATCAGCAAAATGTCGCTTAGAAAGTTTTGAAATTGAAAGTACGAAATTTCCCAAAATGGTTTTAATTTTCTCCTGGCTTTATTTGTGGTGGGATTTCGAAATAAATTGCACATCAACTCTACTACATTTTCTCCTCTACAAGACGGCACAATTAGAATTTCAATATGACGTTTCGTCTCTTGTCCTCCAGCATCAACTTAATTTGTTCTTATAGACGCCAAATTGGATTCTTACGCACATGAGTAGAATTTCTATTCTGATTTCAAAAATGTACCTATATGTCATACATTGACATTGAAAAACCCTAGTTATTCTAAAAGTTCCTGGGTAGGCCTTGAAATGATCAGATTTCATTTGTTTGCATAGCAACAGGGTGAAGACCTCTGCTTATTTATGGTTATTATTGTTATTACCATCAATAACATTTTCATTTCGTATTCAGGTTTCACCATATCTTTTTATTTCTTTTTAACTTTCATCCAACAACAAATTTTTAGTCAACTAACGAAATACATCACTGAATTTAGGGCTGAAAAGTCTATTTAAATGTACACAATTCCAATATAGTGCCCATGTGAAAAAACAAAATTCAAAGAAATGTCGAATTGAAAAGACAAGAATAAGTAACAATGACAATATGCAATTTATTTTGAAATTCCATTTCAAATAAAGTCAGGAAGAAATAGAAGTAACTAAGGTCTGGCATTTTTTTAATCAAAATTTAAAAGTCTATTCATCTGTGCAAAAATGCAATATAGCGTCCTTAAGAAATAATAAGGTTGATGCTGGAGGACAAGAGACGAACCGTCATATAGAAATTATGATTATGCGTTCTTGTAGAGGAGAAAACGTGGCACTGTTAATGTGCAATTTATTTTAAAATCCCAATATAAATAAAGTCAGGAAAAAATCAAAACGATTTTGAGAAAAATCGGTTTTCCGTTACTCCCCGGAAGTACTTTGAATTTCGAAACCTTCTAAGTGTCATTTTGTTGACTACCCAATGATGAGTGCCAAATTAGAAACACCCGGTATATGCAGACTCACTACAAGAAAGAAGTGAAAATACTACAAATATTTAATAACGTCTTTGAATAATAAAAGGCTGCACATAACTACAATTATCAACATCTGCTTACATACCTATAAGTTTCACAGAATTCCCAAAAAGGACTGAGACTACGAAAATACATAGAAGTAAGACTTAAATCGCGTAATTTCGCATTTTGCAACTGTAGCAAACATTTTCAAAAGGTTAGGGGTCACAAAATCGTATTAATTATGGTTCGTGAAAGTCTTCTATTCTTCGGATTTTTCATACTGTATTCATAATCTTCATTTTCCCGTTACCGGGTCAATAAATAAAATATTGAGCACAAAGCACTTTGGCGCTGGCTGATATTTAAAATGGAATTTCATTAAAATTTCTTCTGCCACTTGCTCACCCGAAAATGTTACAAAAACTTGTTTCTGTTGAATCATTGCACTGTTTTTTCTACAAAATTCAGTTTTTTGTGTTTCATTCTCTCCTCAGTAGATCTTCAAGGTCTTCATCTTCTTGACTCAGTTTTTTTACACCGAAGCAGCCGC